AAATTCACATAATAGAAAGGAAAATCGGTATGATGATCAGGAGCTAGTTCCCGTTGCAACCCTTGCCCCATCTTATCTCTATCAGAGTATCCATGCGATTTCGCTAGAATCTCAAATTATGGTAACCTGTAGTCTAGCAGCCGTGCAAGAAGTAGCACAAGCACCGCATCTTGCCACTTCACAGTCGAGATTAGCAATCGACATTAAGTCAGCAAAAGAGGAGAAGGGCAAAAAATCTCACGTCATCGAGCGCTGCAGCGGCCTACCCTTGGATCAGATTCTGCACCGACGTAGACTTTCCGTGTTGCAATTGTTCAGAATTAAGTTTAAGTATAATTTTGTGTAGAGATAGAAGTAGGTGGTGCATGGTGATTTAGGTATGAGGTGGTAGAGGGTTTAGCAGGACCCAAGCTGAATCAACAGTGTGATTAATTGGCATTGGAGACCTCACCCTTTTCGAACTTGCAAAACACAAGAACAGAAGCACAATCCAAGGAAACGCAGGAAGCCTCTTCCTTAGAGCTACGACCTACTGCGACTGTTGCTCGAAGAGGTGTCGGAGTCCGTGGTGGCACATCGTCGACCTGCATTCGAATAATTTTTGTACGAGCTCCAAAAAGTGAAGTTAATTTCGGGTCATGTTATAATTGGACAAACTATTTGGATGCAATTTGGTGAATGGAAATTGGTTTAAGTGGATGAATTCACATTTGCAGATGAGAAATTCATTTGTGGATGAGAATTTGTCTTGGATGATAATCTTAGATGAGTTTTTATTACTAGACAATTCAATAGAAATAAAAAATTATATTAAATCATAAAAATCATATAAAAATTCCTTTCAAAGAGGATGTGTTTTCGTAGTATTTTTTGTTGGTTGCTTTGTAGTGTTGTAATGTGAGACTACCATTTAATTATTTAAAAAGCTTAAATGTTTTAAGAAAAAAATTAAGCAATAGCATTTAGGTAATTAATTTAAAAGTTAATTAGCAATTGTGACTTTAAATAAATTTCTTGTTAGAATGATTTATTTTAGCTCACAATTAGAAGGTTATAGGATTTATTGGACAAAAATCAAATGCTAATAGAATATTATTAGAACATTTAATTAATTAGATTGTTATAAACTAGATTAGACTTCCAACTAGTAGGAGTTTATTTTAGTTTATATTGAGTTTATTACAACTAAGGATATCATGTATCTGGTAGTGGAAAGTCATAAGGATATATTAAAATTCTTATATCTAGTTGATATATCTAGTTCTTATGTCTAGTATCTTGTGTGTATGGGTACTATTTCAAAGTGACAATATTGACGATGATCTTGTCTTTTTGTAGTATCTCTTCTTTGTGTGGTTGCATCAATTCTCTTTGACCATGCCATTCTTTCCATTGTCGGATCACATTGTTCTATTAAAACTTGCTAGACTTATTTACTAATAATAGTTTCTACTTCTCTCTCTCTTTTATTTTTGCTTCTCTTTGCTTTTTGTAGACTTTTGCTATTAGTGCTCCACTGTGATTGATGGTACTTGTGAGCACCTAGTCATCGAGCCAAAGAATAGAACAATAGATCTAGTAAGTGTAGTAGTAATCAACATGGTTTAGTTATCTTTTTTTCCCCTTATTATTGTATTTTAAAGCTGTAGAAACATCAAAGTGATAGTAGAGCATAGTATAGAAGGCATATTATTTCATTGCCTTGGTTACAATATGAATCTTTAGTGGTGGTTGTTTGCCAAAGGTAGAACAATAATTGGATGCTAATATATATATATATATATATATATATATATATATATTTTTTTTTTTCTTTCTTCGATTCTTTTGGTGTTGTAAAGACTTGTACCTACTAAAGCTGATGTTATTGAAGTGGAAGTAGCAAGGCTAGTTAGTAGACTCTAAATATCAGAATAAAACAATAGTACTGGTGCTTCTTCTTTGATTGGGTTTCTATTTGAAGATTGCACATTATGATTGTTAATTAATTAATTAATTTATTTATTTATTTATTTATTAAATAGAGCATCAACTTAATAAGAATTATGTGCCTTTGTCTACATTGCTTGGATACTACATTTGTAAGGTCAAGCGACCTTACTTCCAAGGACAAAATGGAACATTGAGTAGATCAATGGTTAATAGTTGGTCAAGAGCACTAAATTTAGTAGAGTGACAAATAATCAAGGATGATGCTTAGTAGTTACATATTTAGATGACTTGTATCCAAGAATGACAAGAGGGAGCATTTAGCTAATGGAGCATTTATTGATTTTTATATTTAATTAGTACAATAGTCATTGCTTCAACAATATTTTGTTCTAATTATCTTTTAAGTAACTAGTCAATATCATCCCATTTTGCTTTCTATTGAAGAATGTCATCAACCTGAGCTAAAGTTAGTGGCTATATGTAAAGTTAAAATTATTATGTATCTAAGAAAAGAAAAGAAAGGAATAGGAATTGTTACACTTATGTGGAATTTTTGTTAAAAGAACCTTCAAAAAATATATAGTGATTTCTAGATTATAGCCATTTCTCAGTGAATTAGGTAATGCACTTGTATTATAGGGACTACTTATTTTTACATTTATAGAAATAGAATACGAAAACTATTGTAGTTGTTCCAATCATTCATGTGCTATACTACCAAGTATAAGATTACCTCAAATTCTACTTAGGTGCTATATTCTTTGAGATAAAAATTAGACCTAGAGCCATAGCTGCTCTATATTCACTACCTCCATTTAAGCTTGTCATCAATAAATTTAGTAAAAATTTCTAGAGTGGATGAACGTATAGGCAGATGAGAGAATTAAATTTAGATGAATATTAATTTAAAATAATATATATATATATATATATATATTATAATTTTTTTTGAAGTATATAGGATTTTTGTGTTGTTAAGTGGATTGTATTATTGTTATAGATGTCTAAATGTGAAATTTAACTAGTTAGAAAATCAAGGATTTTAATAAAAAAAAATAGATGTATATTTTACGTAATCAATTTGTAAGTTAATTAATAGTTGTGAATTAAAATATATTACCTACTAGAAGAATTTATTTAATTCACAATTGAGAAGTTATAAGATTTATTGAATACTAGTTAAATAATAATTGGAAGTTATTAGAATTATTAGATAACTAAATCATTATGAATTGAGATAGACATCAAACTTGTAGAGATTAATTTTCGTTTACAATCATCAACACTAAATTACTTTCTTTTAGTTTACAATCATCAACACTAAATTACTTTCTTTTAGTTTAAAATCATCAACACTAAATCACATGAAGTAGCAACACTAAATTACTTTCTTTTTCACATTATAAAACTTAACTCTCATTCAATTTATTTATATATAAATATTTTTAAAATTATCTTTGTGAAATATATAACATGATGTAGCATTGAATAATATAGCATATTCCAAATCAAAAAAAAATTCAATAGATAGTAAATCTATTTTCATACAAGAAACATAAAGAAAATTTTGATTTCTTTTATTTTTTCAAAAAAAATTTCAATGGATACACTTCTTTGTCCAAATATAAAGAGAGTTTGCTCTCCAATTATTCTTATATTAGAAATATTTTATTCTTCAAATTTTATAATTAATTGTTTATTTTTAATTACATATAAGTTGGCTCCAAAATCTAAGAACCATGTATTGTTGGAATCAAATGCATTAAAATATGCATTCATAATAGCTTCAATTGATAGATCCATTGAGTGTTCTTCTTTATCATCTTCTATTGATATAACTGTTTATTTATTAATCTAAATAGTTATAGTTGTAGTTGTAGTTGTTCTATTTTACTTTTTAATATCTTCATATCTTATGCTTAAGCAAAATGACCAAGTTTATTATATTTGTGGCAAGTGATAGTGTATTTTGATCTACTTTCTAACTTGCTTATATTGTTATTTTTTATAGATGGATGAGGATTATATTCTCTTCTTTAAAGATGATGTTTAAGAAAATAATCTCTAAAATTTTGATTATAACTTTATTTTTTGGATATAGTGTTGTGAAAATTTCTTTTTGCATATAATATTTCTTCTTTATTATCTCTATTTTTTTCAACTTGATGACAAACTTCTTCTTATAAAAGTAATCCTTCTAATTTGAGAAAGGTCGATAATATAATTTTTTTTTTTTTTTTTTTTTTTTTTTTTTTTGAATTTGCTTAAAAATCGACCAACTGCTTGATATATTGTTTAAGGTTAGAGCAACAATGTCTTTATTACAAACAATAATTCTTATTTTGTCTAATTGATTAAGCAATAAATTGATTTCTTGCAAATATTCATCTAAATCCTTCTTTTCTAGTAAGAAAATTGGGTATAGTTTTTTTCTCAAGGCAAGCTCTCTATTTGTAGCTATAGCATTTGAAGATGTTATAGACTCTTTAGAATTATCAGCAAAGAATGGGATTATTTCTATCAATCTCCACAAGTTTTCTTATATTAAAATCATTTGAACTTTGTAGCTCCATAGTCTGTAGTTCAAAGCTCCTTCTAACTTCATAGAATCTGTTATGTCTCTTACAAGTGGATCCATGTTTCTACACTCTAAACGTATAAATACAAGAAAGAATAAATAATAAAGAAGTAAGAACAACCTTTCTTTTCTCTCCTTGAATGACTTTGCCTATTCAAGTTGCCAAAGAAGAACTCTACAATATTCTCTCAATATCATAGCTTTGATATCATGTTAGAAATTAAACTTGGTGCACTTTGGCACTATATTTGCTTGTGTTAATAAAAAAAAATACATATGCTTTAAGTAATATGTGAACTGGATGACAAATAAACTAACATGTGCCATCCGTCGGGCATGGATGGAATCCTAACAGCGAGGATGGACTACGGTGCCACTTGCTGAAACCTAATCCTATGTGGATGAATGTTGGATGAATAATGCCAACAGTTTTAGAGCAAGAGTTTCCGGCGCCTTAGAATTGCACTTCTATCCTCAGGGCTACAACTTATGGGTACGTATTCGATGGTTTAGTCGGAGGTTAGGAATCGCTCTCACCTGCTGTTTGTGATCATGAAGGCGCTCTCTTGACACCGAGTGATGCCCCGAGTAGCGGGAAATTTGTCGAGGGCATTAGTGAGTGGGGGATGTTGGAAACATCCATCGCCTATACATAAAACAAATCAATAGTATCGAGACAAAGAAACTCGTAATCTTCGTGTATCCTCAGAGGTACAACGAGGTTGCATGCTGCCCTGCACTCAAAGCCGCACAGCTCACGGAGACGATCATCACTTTCACATTGGTCTTCTGCAGAGAGATTGGAGGGATCATGTTCCTTTAAATATGTTTAAAAACACACAAAGGGCATCTCAAAACTCGGCTGATAATTCACACATCCTCAAACAAATCAACCAAGAAAACGCTGATTCCACCACAACCTTGCAAGAAGACAAGATGCTGAAATCGGGAACGGTCTTGATTGCGCTCCTCGCGTAGAAGCGAGAGAATTTTACGTACAAGATTCTAATACAGACTGTAATGGCTTCGGAGATGGGGATACACAAATTGTCAATGGGTCAAGCAGCCAAAGTTATAGCAATTCACATGTGGCTGTTGAGGACGATGGATGAGAATAAAGCACTAATACGAGGAAACCCATTCTTCACGATTTTATTTGAATCAATGTAAGGAGTTTCCGTCGTCCGCTCCAGCTCCCGCGTCAGTATCCCGGCGGGCAGATATTTGAATTCAAATACAGCGCGGTGCTGTTTGTTGAGTTTGAAATTGGCTATTCAAATGATTTTATTCGTCCTTGATTCTTTTGAGCAGGAGAAGAGAACATCACCGGTGGTTTCTGAATCGCGTAGCTAGAGAGCGGATTTAGTTATGCGGAAGTTTATGATTGTGCGCGTCATTTGTGAGACCGGGGAGACGTGGAACAAGCACGAACTGGTGAAGTAGGATGAGAATTTTGGGACTCTGCGTTGTTTCAGAAACGAAGGGATATTGGTTTTTATTTGGAGAGAGTGGAGGACACGGAGGGGCGGGAGTTACAATTTTTGAGTGTAGTCATTGTATGATCGTGGTTAGTATCAATTTGGAAGTGTGAGAATAGAACTGTTTTATTGCGGTAGTTTTTGGCTAATGCTTAGACAATTAGTATCTTGCATTGAAAAAATGGTGTAATGCATGTTGAGAGGTGTGTCTTATTTCTACCGGCTCACCGTGTGTTTTGTAAACCAGATTCATTTGTAACTTGGTCTAATGTTTAATAGAGACAAAATAGAGACAATCGGAATCATGACTGCTTGGCTCTTTTGAGCAATTCATCACCATTGGACTTGTCTCGTGCAGTTACGATGGAAGCTAATTTTGTTGTAAAAACAGGTACAGCTAAAAAAGATCATGGAATCTAACTCGGGCTTCATTCCTGCTCAATTAGCCAATCATGCAGAAAGCATTAAAGTGAAGCGTGTAGGCAATGCGAAGCAGAAGCCACGTAAAAACACGGCCAAAGTTGCCACCATTTCTCTGGAGGAATACATCAATGTGTTTGACTATCTCACGCAAGGTCAAGGAGACGAAGTCAAACCGATTCATAATATGAAATCAATCGCTTGTAGCGGCGATCAGCTCAAATCTGTAGGCCATTGTTGAACGAAATTTCCTCTGGATAATATTTGTCAATTCCTAGAGAATTGTCTTGGTGTGAAGAGGCTCCATTTTCGTGCCTTTATACTTGGATGGCCATGATTCAAACATTCTGGTCGACTTTCTAAATACAATGCAACTTCCACTCAAGAGTTTGTTATCGTTGTGGCAGGTTTTGAAACTTCATAACATACCGCTTTCAAATCGAAAAACCAAGGTTTTGTCAAAAACATATCCTATTTATCATTTGGACTTTATTTTTTAGCTAAGATTCATCATAACATGTTAAAAAGGATATTTCTCTTCAGATCTTTTCTCATTGCTATTCATAATACACCCTGCGCGAGGTTTCGATGGCTTGTATACTTCGTTACAAGAATACTACTAAGTAAAACGGACTACAAACCTTGTTCAAATATTGAATAGATCATAGTAGGTGTAGGACGTAATTGATTTGTGAATTCTCAAAAAGATGAAGATCGTACATAAATCTGTGCGCAATATATGTCATTCGGTACAGGAAAAGATGTTCCAAGAATTGCTGGGAAAAGAGCTCTGGAACCCTTACGGACCTCCTCCAGACACAACTATGCCTGTAACCATTACGGAAGAAGAAATTCTGGAGGATCTGCGGGTTCTTGAATGCATATCCGACAGTGGACCTTCTTCCCTGGCCGTAGCTCTCAACAAAGCTCTTGTCCCCCAGTGAAGGACATTTGCATTAGGGCCACAACAACCATCAGTGGCCAACTCTACCATAGGTTGATTTTCTCTTTTTCTGTGTGCTAGGGTAACCAGACAACATGCTGTCCAATCAAGTTTTACATACATAAGTTACTGCTTGCTGCCGTGCTATGTGCACCATGTTGGCAGTTAGAGATTTGTATGGGCACAGCATGTGGTGGGGCTGTCGCAGGCAATAGCATGAAGCATAGACACGACGTCTCAGACAACTCTTTTTCGGAATAACTAGATACAAGACGATGTCACATACAACAACACAGTTCTAAATCCCTTTCCTCTTGGAAAGTTCTAGACTGTCACATAACACAAGCAGGGAGTTCCCTTGCAATGCAATGTATTAAAAAACAGTTAGCTCACAGTAATACCATCTTCCCTTTGCACTTCGGTTCTATAGAGTCGGGAATTCATAACAAATATAGTGTAACAAGGACCCCCCGTTAAAAAGAGTATTCGTTATCATCCGTCAACAGGAGACCGACAATCTTCCGCTCAACTGGGCGGCAACTTCACTATAGTAACGGGGCAAGGTACGTTGTTTACCACATAGTTGCTTACGCTTCCCATGAAGGCCCTGCCAATAGACATGGTAGTAAATCAACATGCCATTTTTCTTGCAACCCGAAACTAGAGAACATAGAATTGGTACACAGCACAAAATAAATTCGTTACTCGGAAAGAAGAGTTCCGGGCAATCACACCTTTTGATGCTGCTGAGACCTCGGCATCCCATGACAAGGTAATCCAGGGGCACGTCCACAACGGAACTGCAGAGCTTCTCCTTAGCGTCGCCCCAGTAGACCTTGAAGACCACGACAATCTGCACTCGCGCAACCTTATACATCTAAATGGGGGGGATTTAAGGGGAAAACAAGAACGAATAAGGTAATGAAGTGAGGAGTAGAAGTGGATCCAGATAAAGCTTACCTTCTTCGCTACAGCTTCATGTAGAACCGTCTTAAGTTCTTCGTCAATCGTCAATTGGTAATTCTGCTGGTAAATTATGTTTTCTGCTTCTTGCAAAGGAATCAAAGCTACACCCCAAAAGCGGATGTTTTCAAGCCCATACCGATACGATCAGTATCAATCATAAGCTAGATGAGCCGTTTTGCGGTGTGTGTTTCTCCAACCTCTAAAGCCCTAGATTTAATTTGGATTCCAAGAGGCACACGTCAATCGGTTGAGCAAGAGTCCCATGGCACAACTGACGAGAGGTCCGCGTAAAATATGTTTTTTTTACGAAGGAGTGGAAGGGAAACTTACGGGTGCCGGACGCCTCCCACAGAGCTGGTTGGCCACCTTCAAGGAGGTTGTCTTTGTTCACCACCACGATAATGAGGTGATCATTCTCGCGCAGGACATTCTTTATGCTCCATTTCAAAGCATATCTGCTGCTAGGCGAGTAATCCAGCGCCACTCCAATATACCTCTCGCCATCCATATTTGCAATCCCCCTAAACTCAGCCTAAGAGCTTGCCCTACAAAGCACGCAAAAAGCACTTTCGAGTAAAGATTTGCTTACCACACGTTCGATACGGACGAAGACGATACTTGTACAAAAACAAAAGTAAAAAACACAAAAAAACGAAACAAAATGAGAGAGACAATTAGGAAGTTCAAGCACTAATCGTGCTTTTCGCCAATAAGTGACTAATTTTCCCAATCGCGATCAACTAAAGAGTCCGAGGGACGAAGGCCACAAAACTCACAACGACGGGATCAAAATGGACAAAGAGTTCTGTAGATCTCATTAGAGAGAGAGATTCTACACTTGCATGATTTGCACTCACATGATCCTTACATTCAAGTCTAAGTAATCAACAACAAAAAGAATTCCCACGATGGGCCATATTCCTGACCTTTGAAAGCCCACTCTGAGTTAGAACCTCCTGCACAAAAACCTCTCCACTGACAGTTCCCCACTCTTCGAAGACAGCTGCGAGTTCCGAGACTGCGCGTATCTGGTCTTCTAAGAAATTGAGCAATTGCCCTCTCTCTCACGGAATCCAACGAATCCAAAGCATGTGCTGTTTACTCTCATTTTCGGAAAGCATGGGAGGGAGTACTTATCGCCCTGAACGCGGCGTCGCAACACACGTCACATGTCCGAAAACCTCGGTTATGACTTCCTTCCGTTCCTGAGTCAGAGTGGGCGCCTCCATATGTGCATCATCGTTTTGAGGCGATAGGATTATTCGCCTTCTTCATCTTTGTGCGTATCTCCGATTCCCTCCCCATCCGACGTCGTTTCCTGTCTTTCTTTCGTCATACCCCTCATGGTTTATGGCTCTCTATATAAGTCGACTTCATAGTTTTTTACTTATAAGCAGAGTAGGATTTCGACACCGGCACCGACTGACAAGCACTTAGCAGATTGCCAGTTTAATGTTTCTCCGCTCTATCACATCTGCACACAATCAGTGCTCACACCGGCGATTAGTGTTGGTGGGTGTTGTTAAAAAATTGTGGGACGAATTTTCACTATATGGAAGAATATGATCAGGCTCCATGTTGTAGTCCTCCACTATACATATATAGATAGAGAGAGAATTGTTAAATTGAAGCAATCATTTACTAAATCCACCCATCCTGACCATTATCAAAAAATTATCCATTTTTAGATTAGCATTGGTTGAAAACTAATGAAAAAATGGTTGGATCCACAACCAATAATGATAGGTGGATTGATTTAGTAAATGCGTTTTGGTTGATTTAACAATTCCTCAAATATATATATATAGATATAGCTTTTTGAAGAAAGGGAGAAAGGAATATCTTCTTTTTGATTTTTGATTCACTAAGAGGTGTTTTGTTGTACCTATTGGAGTATTCGATCTTCATCTCGGGAAAAAGAATCTGCATTCTAATTGAATATATTAAAAGTTGGTCCATCTAAACTACCTATCCATTTGGCAAGTTAGATGGGATCTATTAATATTTTTATTATTTATTATTTACTATTTCTAAATTCTGAAAAAAATCTTATCCAAATTAATATGTTATTGTTTGTGTGTTTCTTTTGGAATTATGATACCAATGGTAAGTTACAAGATTATCCTAATAACCTATGAAAATACTTTAATTAAAAATTAGTCTTTCAATTTTATATTTAACATGCATAAATAGAAAGTCATTGAGAAATAAAAAAAAAAAAAAAAAAAAATTACAAACAACAATTGATAAGACAATAATGTCATACAAGGAAGATGTGTGATACTTGGCTAAAATTTATGGGTCATTCTTTTACAAATCCATTAACACATTTTTGTATTTGGAGAAGGTTGATAAGAGTTTTATTTATAATAAATGATAGTAAAGAAATCTAAATGGATATTCTAAATCATATTCACTTAATCTTTGCTTCATTTTAATGTACATGATTAAAATGTTAATAAATAATTTTCATATTTTGTACTATTTTGATACCAACAAAATCTACCAATTATTATGATATTTGCATATAATACACAATGACTACTCATAATAGTAATAATGTAAATTGCTCTAGTGTTTTAAGTATAAAAAGTAATACATTGAAATTATTAGATTAATATGATATATGAATGATGTACAATTTGACACCAAAAACTGCAAATGTTAGATAATAAGAAAATGGTTGTGTCTTTCTAATTTTTTTCTTTTCTTTTGTTTTGTTTTTTTTTTTTTTTGGTATATTGAAATATATAAAATTTATAATTATAATCTTTTGATTTATACATTGATATATCATTGAGTGAATCAGATATTGTTGCATAAGTAACAATCTTATATATGTAAGATGTAATAGTAATAAATATTGTTATATAAAATAAAAATATATTAAATGTAAAAATAATATAATTATTTATAATATTTTAATTTTATTTTTTAAAATTATCTATGAAAATAAGAAATATTTTGATGCTACTAGCTCTAAATATAAATATATTTGATAATACCATATATAATATATCAAATTTTAACATAAAATATCATAATTTATCAATAAATATTCTTTTATATATAAAAATAGAATATTCATAAAAATATAAAAATATTTTAAGAATATTTTTTATTATATTATATATAATTTTTTTTTATGTTTGGAGATTGAATTATAAAAAGAAATTTAAAATTTTTAATTACTTTGTAAAATTGCTAAACACATTACTAAAATTTTAAATTTTAAATACTTACTAAAACAACATTAATATATAAAATTTAAATATGGTTGTTTTGATGAATATATATTTATATAAGAATTTTTAGTGACTTTAATTATACAGGGATATCTAAAAAAATAAAAGAAAAAGTAAAAAGATAACATAGTTATCAACAAATTTAAAAAATATATATAATATTTTGTGGTCAAAATATCTTATTATGTACTTGGTGTTGGAATAGAAATAAAAACTAAAACTTTATTTTAACTTAAAGCATGTGTATATTGTTTATAATTGTATTCTTATAAATATTGTTAAAAGATAGAGATGAATAGTATTAACTCCTTATTTGTCTTTATTTTCTATCTTAACTATTAGTAATATTTTTTTGTTTCATGATTTTTCTTGCACACATTGTTGTTGTTTCTTTTTGCAATGCAATGTATATTTGCATGTTAAGCTTCATAATATCTTATAACTTTTTGACTTCTACTTTGGCTACTTCCACTAAGCATGCTTCTTTCTACTAATTTACTTCTTTTTACAATTCCATTCTTTATTTTATTTATTTTATATTCTCTTTTCTTCCTCTAATATTTTATTTCTTACTTGCCTTGCATGCTACTTTATTTCATCATATATGTCAAACTTTAACAAAAATAAAATTACTGATTTGATAAGAATATTGCACAATTCATTCCATATTGGTTAGAAAAAAGCTAAAAACAAGAAACTTCATCTATATTGCCTAATTTTAAAATGCTAAGTTCAAGAATAATATATATATTTAAAAAATCATAATTATAACTCTCTTTGTAAGTATATTTATTGATTTTAATTTCTATAAGTATTCTTGATTTGCTTTATTTATATTTTCAATGTGTGATTTGTATAATACTTATTGTAATTGGTTGAATTTTATTTTAATTCCATCGTTATATTGTGACCTTACAAAATCATTGTAGGCCTCATCTAATTTTATTCAATCTCTATAATATTATTTTTTCATTGTTTGAGAAGATAATATTTGGTCATACATGGCTTATTTTCTTAAGAAGAAAAATCTAAAATTTTATAAATTCTTTTTCAATATGATTCTTGTATAACATTAATATAAAAAATTATCATTAATAGATGTAGTTATGTTATTTTTTAAAAAAATTATTATTATTATTATTTTGATTTTGTGACTATCAACTTTAGATAGTGTTTCATCTACTAATGCATTTTTTTTTATAATTATTCTTTATAAAATAAATATATTTTTTTCTTATAATTTAATTATTTAAATTATATCAAGGACATGAATCTAAAAAATATTCAAAAGACAATACATTCATGTGTCATTGATAAAACAAGAAAGTAAGAAAAGCAACTATAGATATAAGATAGGAAAAAACTAGAATAACTATTACCAAATATAAAGATATTAGAGACTCTTGATCTAAGATAAGAATACAAGAAAGAAATTGATAAGACTGATGATGGCCTTATTCTTGCTTCCATATATACTAGCTACCAATAAGATCTTATGAAAGCTTTCTAAAGACTACAAGATTTGTGCCCTAAGTATCAAGTAGTAGATTGCTTCCAATAGATCTTTCTAAAAGTAAGAAACTTTTAGGACAAGTTTCAATAGTCATGTGACAATCTATAAAAATCTAAATATCTAATTTGTGTCTAAAAAACTTTCTCAAATTTTTGTAAGGCAGATTTCATCTATCCAATATGTACAACCTATTTTGACTTATTTATATTTATTTTTACTTACATAAGTAACATGGACATTAGTTACAAATTATTAGATTTTTTTTTTTTTTTTTTTTTTTTTTTAAATCTATATCTTTTTAGTAATTTTAATAAGTTAATAAATAATCTAGTTGTCTTCTTTAGGAATAAAGATTCTTTTTGGTAATTTACTACTATAGTTATACTTTACATAGTTATACTTTAAAATATGTAATTAATATGGTACTACATATTCAAAAAAGAGTAATATAAAGATATTTTTGGTAATTTACTACTATATAAATTTTGATTTTAAAATACATCACAAATACGCAATGTTTTAGGTTGGAACATTGGCTAGACTTAATTGCCTTTGTGCTTTAGTCTATGTCATTTAAAGAATAACTTCTCACTTGGATGCTCTTGGTAATTATTGATTATATATATTTTTTTGTTTAATTGCTAAATTGCTACTAAAGATTTAAATGCACCAAATATGACATCACTTCAAGAACTTCATCCAAGAATAGCTACTACCCATACCTGTGCTCTGTAGCCTAATTTTTGAAACTTCATGGAGTAAGTCCAAACAACCATTAATGAGTCCCCTCTCAACAATTGTTCGGGTGATATACACCTTGATTCAGGGGCATTGGTTGAGATGACTATCTTAATAGTGAAGTAACTTATTCACCCGAGAATAACAAGACCTGCACCTGGGTAATAACAAAATCCTGTGGCCAGTTTGCATCTTAAAACACTACCAGCAATGTGACCTCTGGTAAGAAAAAACTGCACGGTCAGAAACCTCTCAACCAACCCTACACCCTCAATTAATCCAGATAATTACATGCCACTTTACAAAGGCCATCCCAATTGTTGAGAGATTCCACAAAAACCCCAGTAAAAACAATCACCAAAGCTTCATCAAGCCTTGAAGCTGGAGTGGAGATCCACTTTGTGATGAAAGCGTAGCAGTTTAACAAGTGCTCCAGAGTCGGCAATGAAAACGTCCATTTACAAAACAAGCTGTCAAAGAGAATGTAGTCGCTACATGAAACAATACCAGGGAGTTGGATTAAGATAGGCAAATACATGTTCCTGAGGCTGACAGACTCAAAAGGCTATGGAATCAACTGCCAGGTAACAAGCCACGCATGAATAAAACATTCAGGAAACATTTCGAGGACTTGATCCTAAATACAACACTGAGAAAACGCCAAAGCACGGTGACGACGACCCTAGCATATTCCTGAGACAAATATATTAAGACATGTGTGGTATTAGAAAGAAAAACATGAACAGGAAGATAAAAAATATAAGTCACATTAATGTACAGAAACCAGTGGCGGACATTATTGTTGCCTGGTCTGTCGTCGCCAGAGAGAAACCTCACGAGCGGCACCAAAGCCCCGAGCTTTAATGCTGCCTCGCATTCGTCAAAGTTCATGGCCCGAAGGCTCCAAGGCAGGGGGCACTGGGGGCATCATCTACATGATAGTGGGTTTGGATTCTGGATGTTGTGACGTCACACCAAGGGCAGGACCGAGAGAATGAGTCTTCGATCTAACTTGACTTGCAGCTTCTGTGACCTCTCTAGTCCGTCGAACTCCTCCATCCTCCTACATAAAAAGGAGAAACATGAGTAAGTTCGTTAAGGATCTACCAACGATGGCCAAAAGAACTCTAGGATCATCGAATGCTCACAAAGGAACGTCAATTTCATATTCGGAATAACAAGTACACATACCGGAGCAAGTCCTGTGGGGGAATGGGAGTTATTTTGAGCCCTGTCTAGCCGACGTTTTTGCTGAGCCCAGTTGCGAAACAACTGCTGGATCTGCACAGCATCTGGGTCCCCACTGAATCGGGCAGCTAGAGCGACAGTCTCGTTCAGAGTGACCTACCTACATCCCCACTCCTCGAACACTAGCCTCAAAGCCTCTCGAGCGGACCTTTGTACCCACCGTCTCACGCCCCTCTGATCATAGCGGTGCTATGTAACAGGTTAGACTAAATCCAAGTAAAATCTGCTGCACTTTGCAAAAGTTCCATGCGAGGTAGCTTACCCCCTTAGGAACGTTTTCCTGTGAAGGATATTCAACCCATCCATGATTAGCATTCTGCTGTAAAACATCAGACTTCGCCTGGTTGGCTTCCATCGGTGAAACGTCAAGCTTTCTCCAATTAGAATTCTGCTGCGAAGCAAGAAAGCGCCCCAAGTAAATGTTCTGCTGTAAAATATCAGACCGCCTCCGCTTGACCTTCTGCTTTGAAATATTAGGCAACCTCGGACTGCCATTCTGTTGCGAAACACTAGACCGCGGCTCATACAGCATTGTCGTGAAACGAGCCAATGGTTGCACATTGTGGACGGCATACTGCTGAAGTGCACTGGGTTGCTGCTCGTATGGCGGTATAATGGAGGTAGCCAACGGTAAGGCATTCTCCAACGACGCACCTGAAGATGAACCATCGATCCGCTGCCACTCTTGTCTATTCTGAATTATTTTGCTGAAAAAAGTCTGATAAATCAATGTAAGTATGCATGTCACAGGAAATTTCACTATAAAATTAACTCTTAAGGAACACACGAAAATGTGTCAATAATAATAAAAAGATAATATCATCAAACTTACCTTTAAGTAGTTGCAGATATCTCCACTAGTCACATGCTGGAAGAACTCCAACTTATCAATATACTTGATAGCATTCAGGGCCTTATAAGTGAGGCGTGTGTCTATCATCAGATGAAATAGAAGATCTGGGGTGAGCAACGAACAAATTACATGAATTAGAATACCAGTGACCATTTCTATTGATGAAGAAATTCCTGACCACCACTCCCATCTCCTGCGGGCCAAGTCTCCTCTATAACTACTCAAATAAGTGAGATGCAATTTATAACGCCAATTTAGCGGTAGGGCCACACACTCCCTTAAACTGCCTCTACATTGAAGTCCGTGTAGCTTCAAGTGGGCCTCATCGTTATGCAGTCCCCTTGACAATGGGCTCTGCGACAATGACACATCCTGGCCATTGGCTGGTGATGAATGTACAACTCCCTTCACAGTCCTAGAGGGAGCTGAACCGTTATACTGCTCAGGTGCAACACAAGGATGAACAGGCTTGTTATGCGGTATGGCTAGAGAATTATCAGCAGGGGATAGGACTAAATCACTTTGAAAGACGGGAGTTATATCAACAGGAGATAGGACTAAATCGACTCTCTGGAATGGCCCTCTTCTTCTCCTCCTCCTGTACAAAGAAGACATCTGTATTAAAGTCATGTTCTCAGCAGCCACAACACAATGCAGCTACGACGACTTCAGTCTTACAAATTATATAGAAGAAATTACCACATATTATGACTTAGTTGGTACATATAAGTCTGCATGCTACTGCTAGTGGTCCTATCCTAAGTCACTTGCTGAATAATTTCATCCTTCCTCGGGACAATTGGAGAACCTGCTGAAGTGACGTAAGACTCCTGACACACCAAAACCGTCGAATATGGTGCTATCTTGTTAATGGTATACGTGCAGAATTTAACACGCAATTCTTTGACAAACAAATGGAAGAAAAACCCCACTAAGTCTTGATGTCAAGTTCTAAATTTACAGAACCAAAATTGAATATGACACGTGAATGAATATTTCAAATTAAATCGACCTCCGGATTGACAAGCCAAATAACAATATAACATTAACCTGAAAGTCGTCCCGAACATTGTTCACAAAACATACAATTGAACCATCTCTTGATCTGCAATTGCCGATTTGTTTATATAAAAAAATCATGGTAATAGTGGTAACAATAGTACTAATGGTAGTAATGATAGTAATCATAATAACAAAGATGTCGCAACATTTGAAACACCATCACAAGGTAAATACCAGAAGGCTTTCCACATACCCAAATATTCACAACCTTCTGTTAATAAACCTTTGTGTGCGCATAATTCCAATATTCTTGGCGTTAAGGTAGTAAAATTATTACTATTGTTATTGTTGTTGTTGTTAACCAATAACAAATAAAAATTAAATTAAATGAAAATTCCACCCTGTTTCTTTTCTTGTATCCCATACTAAGTTACGAGTAGAGGCCTGTAAGATGTTTGCAGGTTAACGGGGCTATAGTAATAGACCAGGTATTGCTTCCAAACATAAGTTGAAACCTTGCCAGGGTCATCGTCTTTTACTCACATTCCATGATGCCAACCAACTGCATTACTCACCTCACAAGCGAAGCGTGATTTCCAAGTGTCAGTAAGAACTCCTCCACTCCGCTAAAAGGAAAGTACAAGGGTGGTAGTGAAAGACCTGCACAGTGGACTCAATGTCATCAATGCTTAGACAACAACGTACGACCCCTGCGAAATCAGCAGCAGTTATGCTAAAACCAAAGTTGTCAATAACGCACATTACTACAACTAAGTTTGCACGACTGGTCACACGGGTGGAACATAGCAACACGCCAAGACACACAAATCATGCACATGTCTAAGTGATTATCGACATTGTAAAGCCACTCACCCCGTGTACTTGCACCACCAGTTACAACTAGTAATTCAACATCAGAAATAAGAAGTGAATACCTGAGGTGAGAACGATTATAATATGCTGCAACCCTGCAGGTGGAGAATGACGACGTATCGACCACATCTCTGACAGCAAAACTGCAAGAATGGTGTACAAATTCCCACAGGCTCGGAAGTACCCAAGCAAACCCATTCAAATATTTTCCCTATTTTAAGTCAAAATTATTTTCATGTGTCAATCTAGATGCAACAAAGACCCCACTTTCTAGAATCCGAGAGAATACGCGGCATGCTGAATCACAGTATAACCAAAGATTATTCTCTTCAGACCCTATGCACACCTTTCTCTGCTGATTTCACAACTGAGGATCCATGTCCCCCGAAAACTTCGATGGCATATGGAATCCATGTCTACAAAATACAGGGTATTATTTAGAGCGAACCCAAACAGACATGCAAGGAACCGAGTTCAAAATTGCCACATGAAAATAATGCAATTGATTTCAAATACAATAGTCAAGTCCCAAGATGTACAGAGATCACGTAGAACTTCTTCCACTACCATGAAGACTGTAGTCCCCTGCTTTATGAGTCGCAGACGACCGCTAACGCGTTCATTAGCGCACTCAGCTGGATGCACTGACACGTTATCTTTCACAAATACAACCTGAAACGAATCTGGAACTCCACTTCGAATAGTCGACTTCTTTGCATTTCCTGACAGCCAAGAGCCTTGACCCTGTGAAAGTCTTTAGAGACGTTTGACAACCTGAGTCCTAGACTTTCTCGGTGCCAGTGATATATATATATATATATATATATACATATATATATGTAATTCTGAATTAGAGTCTATCTGACACATTTCCATGTTTCTAGTAGTCTGGACGAAAGCAATTGAGTATGTTGATCAAGCTGAATAACTCTGAACGGGACTCAGTGCGAGACCATAAAATTCACAAAAAAATTCAAGAAACACGTAAAAATAATTGATTTAATCAGTTGCATGGAGTAAGAGCTCCGCCAAACATTACGTATAATCAAACACAAAAGTAGGTCCTTAAAGCGTGGAATTATCTTTAAAATAAGATCAAAGTGTAATAGACAATTATCTAGATTCGAGCTATGTAAATGTTTTTGACGAACTGTAACTTGCTCCAAATAAGAAAAACCACCAGCCTTGCGCTTCACAACAAATAAGGAAACCAGTGATTAGTCTACAGAAAGTTGACAACTGGGGTGCTGGTAAGGTTACTGCGGAATCGATCCACATTAAACTCCAAGAAAATTTCGAGCAGAATCGTCGAGGAAAAGTCGTTTCCTTCAAATGAAATAGCATTTGTTCTACACATAGAATCAACTTCCCCCGAATCGGAATTGCACTAACTACAGCGAAAAGACCGTTGTTCACTCGTTTCGCACGATTGAAGTGATTAGAGCTCAGATGAGGAAGGAGAAACAATGAGTGGTTATAGAGATCAGATCCATAGAAAAGAATCCTCTGCAGCAGCGTAATTGCATTACTCCCTCTGTTGGATCTTAATTCAGGTTGAGAGATTGCATACCAACCTGGAAGGTGCAAAACAAAAAAAACACATGCAGTCGTCACCAATGTTACATAATTATCACGCTAAAATCAGTAAAATTGAATTCCTAACGTACAATTCGCTAAATAAGTGCGTTCAATTCTCCACCAGAGCTCTACGCTCCGTACCGGAAGGCAATGCAGCCCCACTATCGACACCCAAGTTATACAAAGACTATCCTGGAGCACAACATTCAGTCCTAACTTCAACAGTTACAAAGCGTATCAAGCAAACTCTGCGAATGATTTGTCAAATACTGTGAAGTCTGGATGAACCTGGACGTTCTTCAATGGAGTAATTGACTGCAAAGACAGAGTATTTCCGGACTTGCCCGCATCCACCACGCCACTGACATTCATAGCTGGACCAGGTTGTCCCCCCATCCAATCACTTCTAATTCCCGTCCAGAGGGTAAACGGAACAGAACAAATTTCGATCGCAACGAACAAAGCCCAACTAGAGCGTCAACAAATCATCGTTGATCCACATCCTGTATGTCAGATGTCAGCGTTGCAAAACCTTCTTCATTGCTCCAACACATTGATGACAACTACTCGTAATTACTGCAAAACCCTGCTTCTTTCTCAAACGCATTGTAAGACAGCAACCTACCGTACGTCATCTCAATTCAAACAAACTTCTCTTAAGATATACCCCTATGCCGCTCGCAATTACATCATAAAACTTCCTCATGATACTTCACGCGGCAGCTTCAAACTCGAAACTACGTCATCATGATATGGTCACCAGGACCTTCAGATATTGTCCGAAATTAACCACAATTGAAAACAGAGCTTGAAATTCTCTATTAACTTCTATCGAGTCCAATCACCAGCATTCCGAACCATCAAGGTAGCGCAATGGCATGAAACTACCTGAACGAGAGCGAGGACCAAGGGTTTCAGATCTCGGGGAGGCGCCAAAGCCATCGTTACACCGAGACTATTACCTTTGAGATCCAGATGCGAGGGAGATGGATAAGTAACACCCATGCGGAAGTGCAATTGGTAGATTTGAAGATGCACTCACAGTGTTCGCGCCTATTTGCGGAAGACAAAGTTTCCAAATCTGTCGAACTGAGGTGTCGATGAGCGATGGGATGGACCCAGTAACCCTGCTGTTAGAAACGAAGAAGGACCAAGTAATCATAAACTGGAAACACACCATCTGGGACATTGGACACTTGGGTACAAACAATGCCTAATCCCGACTGTGGGTGATCACACCCATGCATCAAGATAGGAATGGTCTAAATTGTTACGAATGCACAACTTGACACGCAGGGCCGGGAGAGGACGGCGAGGAACTATCCGTAGTCCTCCTCGTTGCCCACGTCTCCAGTGGTAGCCGGAGTTGGACGTCAGCGATGGGAATGGACAGCGTAAGCTTAACGTTAGACATCAAGATCCTGAGTGACAAGTATCGTCGCAGCCATTTCATGCGTGGTGACATGAACAGAGATCCGTGACGTTGCTTGATTCATTGCGCTGCTGGCGATGTAGGAATCGCTAAAAAATAGAGTCCTGCTGCAGGGCGATGAGTTCGGCGAGGCTTTGTGAGGACCTGGAGTGACAGCGCGGAACTGTCACAACAATTAGCCATGCTTGCCCCGCTGCAACCCAGTTTGGGCATCATCACGAGAGTGAAAGGGGAGAGAAGGCGTCATCTGGGGCATCTTGTCTATTGTGGTTGTGCTGCTCCTGCAAGGACTGAGTCGCTACGGATCGAAGTTGTCACTGTGCCCACACCTTCGGTGGGGGCGTTGTTGGAGAACATGTAACACCTGCTTGACGGGCTCTCCTCTGATAGTGCATCTTTGCGAAGGGCGAAGCCTCTTTCATGCGGCCTAGACCAACATGCACGATGGCAATCTCACACTTCACGAAGTTGGAGTATGATTATTAGATGCTGCATCTCTACCAACCGTATCTAATTACTTCTCACAAATGCGTCGCAGCTGCAAGGTCTGCAGGTGGTGGGCAGATTGGACGACAGTGCAACAACCAGAAGAATCAGCCTGAGTGGCCTCCGCTTTCTACGCAGTCAGGCTAAGGGATAGTCCAGACCAAGACCAGTAGGGCCCCATGAGGGAAAGATGTAACATGAAGTGGATTTGTGGGGCTATGAATGTCCCATTTATGGATGCCGATAGATTATTTGCGGGAACCTCATGCTCCCTTTTGAAGACAAACGCTAGCTGTATCATTAAAAAAAATACCGGCAGCCGTCAGATTTCCGCTTCTGGGAGCAGCTGCGACTCTAGTGCTGTAATTGAGGAAGACGGACCAACGTTGTTAGAAATATCTTTGAGCCATTTCTCACACTCTCTGCACTGTATGGTACATAGTATCATGGACATCTCCGACGATATATTTGTCAGGTTTAGATAGCATTGACATACAATACACCTCCCGATAGACTTTCGTGCAAACCAGTTCCGGTCCCTCTCTAGTGCCTAAGTCGCTATCTTCACTGCATCACCCGCAAGTCTCATGTCCATCACTGTCAACCATGATTACTCCTACATTTAGGTGATAAAGCCTTCACTACCCAGTATCAAGAGCTGCAGAATCTCAGTAGAATCACCCTGCTGCTGCTCCAAGAGAGAATGCATGTGATGAAAATTTCACTGAGGCCCCGCACCAGCACGAGCCTCCAGGATCACCGAACTGTAAGGATGCAGGTCGTAAACATAACTGCTGACAACCGTTAAACGCACTTTAGATCACTCACGCAATCTGATTCACTAATCTAAAAGTTTTAGTCTTTACAGTGCCCACTTAGCGGTGTTCTAAAACAAGTCAAATCACCGCTACTTAATTTCAGCATGCTGGTTCATCTGTCTTTGGGATAACTTTAGACAGTCAGGTGATTATAAATAAACACAGGCAGTTCAAAGAGACTTGCGAGATGTGTGGCGGCAATTGCATGTAGAAAATGATCACTGCTATCGAACGACTATCATCGGGATAGAGGGAAAGGACCTGGAGGCATCCACTTCGATCTGGAGGGGCTGGCCTTCGACGAGGAAGTTGTCGGGAAAGGGAAGGCTCGTGTCTGCAATCCGAAGCCTGCACACACCACCACCACCACCACCATTACCATCACCAAGTCGCCGAGAAATGCTATCACCATTTGAGTTTCCGTTGAAGGAGGAAGTGGCAGACGTGAGACCAGGGTGCATCAACACATACCAAATCATGTCTGCTGGTGCATCTGGAACCGTCACCATCATGGACACTGGGTGAGGATTGTACGCAATGTACAGGTCGCCAAGAGATTTGTTGGCGTTTGGTTGCATTATATCTGACTGCAGACTGACCGCTAGAATATTGCTGCCAAGGCCACACCACACAATGTTAAGATCCTAGTCACAACGTCTTTCAGCATATGACCACATATACTAGGTCATCATTAAGACATTTGATCACACCTCGTGATGCATTCAAGTCACAGATAGATACACAGAATGTACTGGTTTCGTTGAGCCATCCATCGATGTAGAATCATAGAAACAATCCTACCTCTCTGTACACTCCCAAAGAGGTTGCTCTGGCTTTAAGCCATGCCATGTGAGTCTTTTCAAGTCTAGAAATCCCCTCACCTGTAAAATTCCACAAATAAGCCCTGTTTTGAGAACCATATACATGGTACCATGCTCAAGTAATATGATCTAGGAAAATCTATTAACATGGTGGTGAACCCAGCCATCACACCAAAACTTCTGGTAGTGCGATGTCCGTAGCACCACAACATTAAGTTTCGCAAATGATATGAGCCCTAAATGATCTTCCCATTGCTGCCCAATATACTACGATGGGCAATCAAGATCAAATAAGCCGATGCTAACCTGTAGCAAATCGCTTCGGCGTATGCGCAATGCCAACAGAGATCTAATCAAATGTGTAATTTGCTTCCCAAATTCCGAGTCCATTGCCTCCCATTGAAAACATGTACTGCACCCGCAAACACACATACTTGACATGCTGTCCGTCTTTCCAAGCATAAAGCCAAGTATCTCGTAATTGCAGAATTCAAACAAATATTCGTGGTCAGCGTCGGTTTTAGTACTAGGTTAAGAATTATGTTTTACTCAATCTAGGACTTGAATAGACCAGACAACGCCATTAATTATCCGCAACACACGCTAAGATGTATGAGGGAAAATTTATTATAGGCTCCCTCTTGAACCCACTTGAGAATGCCGACTTGGTGCAAACATCGAAAAACCAAAGGACATTCTGCATGACGCCATCATAAATTAAACTGCGTACCTGTTGTCAACATCCAAGACACCTTCCTTGGTGTTTCCATACTCATCACCCATATTGAGAACAGGAACTCCTTGAGACAAAAACAGCGTTGTGAGGAAGTTGCGAACCTGGTCACAACACATATGATCTGCTTAGAATAAGTGCTTGACCTTCTAATACTGAACGTTCAAATGTTTCGCTGCAACACAACTCTTTTCCTGGAAGAAAATAACCATACAGTGACATGTTTCACAACCACACATGCTTGAGAAAATCATGTACAAAGGGAATTAAAGAGTTTCCACAATAAATCATGAGAGAATTCATAACCATGATACAGGTAATTTCTATGAGTTGGAGATGACATTCACCTGTTTCACTCGTATTTCGATAACCAAGGGATCATCTGTAGGGCCTTCATGCCCACAATTCCAACTGCACCCATCAAACCCACATACTCATTCAACAGGTAAAAGTGTATTACTAGAACAAGAAAGATACATCAGGTTCCTTAACTCCAGTCTTTTGTTGAGGCTTCAGCAACAGCTGCTACACCCCCCTAAAAGCAATATCTATGTATCCTCCCAAAACTTTTCGCGCATTTGCTTTCACCTGCACTAGTGTAACCTAAGAGAGCTGCATGGTGTTAAAATCATAGGGCATGTACACATACCTATACTCGCTGATATCCCCCTCCTCATCGCTGTCACAGGACATAAAAAATAAACAAATCAATGTTGCAAATCAAAAATTTGACGACGAACACATTGAAATCAAAATTTCAACATTCGCATTCTGATTTATCAGGAGGATAACCAGACATGTACCTGTAGCTCACCAAATCAGTGAGTGTGAAGCCATATGGGGATGTTATGTGGTTAAGTGAATACTGGGTCCCTCGACCATCTGCAAATAAATCACCACTGCCAGATGTAGCAGCATACCAAATTCAGTTTCGGCAATAGCAAAGCATGTCTCAGCATTTTGTTTCAAGCGGTTGTAGAGATTAGATGGACCTGTAGTATACTATAAAACCAAAGAGGACTACAGAGGGGACACGGCATGTCTCCACACTACTCATCCACAGTTGGCCTACGTTACTCGCATCTCTAAAAAAAAATGTTGCTTAAGCCTCGATTACATCAATTCCATAGCACATCCATATCCATATCCTGATTCATCAAAGCATGATGTTGCACATTTCCCTACACTAGTTTATACAGCTTCTTCCCTTAAACATTGCGTCTACAGAAATCGAACGACGATTCACCTGCCACAAAGACGCGTCGCAAAACTACTCAGCTGATCAGGCTCTCCCCGCAGAAAACGACGCACATCAATCTTGTATTGCGTGTTCCACTCACACCACCTTTTCCAGTGTGGAAATGTCACATCCTGTCACAGTTACACCCCGGATGTTATGAATCTAAACGTTGTGTACAGTACTCAAGTTCTGGATATGCTTGACGCAAGCCTTTACGCTTGCATGCCTTATCGGGATCGGTTAAAATCCTGCAAAAGCTCCCTCTTAACATTTATATCAATAGTCCTCTGCATGTCAGTGCTAGCCCTTTCTGTATGAAGGAACATGTTCATTTGCGTTCACTACTCGATGTTCAAGTAGCATAGTCTTGAACATCGAGTAGTGAACACAAATGAACACGTCCTCTATACTGAAAGGATATGATCACCTCTTTCAACTCTGTACAGCTCTAGCAATTTCTAGCGTTATGCTTAATCATTCAATTCACCATGGAAAACCGCCAAATTCGATTTCTCTCAATTGAAAAATAATAAAATCCCATTTAGGGGCAGTGAAGATAATGGTGAAGCATTATAGAAACGACTACCACCTGTAAGCTCTTATCTTTGCTGATCCTAAAGATAACCATCAGCACAAAATCCGAAACAAGAGCGAGGTGTGTACCTTCCAAACCCCATTAATTGGTGAACACAGATCAGCGATGAGCTTCACGTTGGCAAGCACAGAGTCAAATGAAATAGACTCTACCAACATAGGTCTGCTGAGGCCTTGACCATGAGGTCCTGTAATGAGGCATGCAGCGTTTTTGAAGCAGAAGCCATCTATGTGAAATTCATCCACAATATACTGGAGACTGTCCATGATCTGCATCCATATGTATCCAATGTATCCAATGTATCCCTTCACAATTATACACTCCTCATACGCTATTCCACAAAATACTTAGTAGCTACTTCATGGTAACTGTTGGTACTCTACTCTATACAAAGACAAAACCAAAATATTGACATCTGCTGGATCCAGGTACAGAAAATTCACAACAAGCTAGTGATGAAAGCAACTTACAAGCTTTTGAACGGTTGGATGGTTGCAATTAAAGGAATTTTCTGTCCCATAATCAGATTTGGCAACTCTGCATCAGCCAAGTTTATAATGAAACAATTAAATAAATAACAGAGATTACTCTCACGCAACGAGAATCTTCAAATGGAATTAAAATAATGCTACTGAAACTAAAGAAAGACTGCAAGGTTCAAATAAACCTACACGCCAAATTTATCGCAAATGTAGTAGGTCGCGTTGTCAATGCCACGGAACGATGTTGGTTTAGGCCCATCATCCCCATTCTCTGCTGTGTGACTGTACACTACATCCAGTATCACCTAAACACAGCCATCAAAAGGCCACATCTCAAACATCAAAAACCGGATACTAAAGTTGAAGTAAATCATATGTAAGTTCCTACAAAAAATGGAATAAGTTGCACAATGATCTTTACTAAACTTTAAACATCTCTTAAGATTCTTACATTCTACATGAGACAATCGGCCAAGTTCCTGCATAATAGTTGGTTAACATGGCAACATTCGCTTGCTAACGTATCTGCCTAGCGTTAATAACTAATACCTCTATGCCATTTCGGTGAAGTTCTTTCACCAATTTCTTCAGAGCAAAGCTTGCCGATCGACTGTCGCCGGAAGAGCCATAGCAACTCATCACTGAAAAGAAGCTGAGGAATTCGCCACAGCAACACACCTTCTGTATTATTGATCTTTCAACGTATAGAAAACTAGACGGTACAGAAGCTGTAACAAAAACTTTGCATGCTAACCACAACCAACAAATAGGGCACAGTTGGCATCCAACAACAAGCGATGATCAGTGTCGTAAATCACAAAACAGCTCGCATCCTCATCTCGCAAAAACCATCATTGTGGATAAGAAAATACCTAATTGGATAGTAGCATCCCTTGGATTCATCCCATGCAAAAATCGGTTGCAAAATTACAGCGTTGACTCCTGCAAATTACGGTGGTAAGGAATTCCAGGAAAAACCGAAGTCCAAACCCCAGGCAGGTAACAATATGGAACTAGACTCATAGAATTATACGAGTTTCAATAATTCTAGTTTTCTTCCAGAACATTGAAGAAGACTGATCTAAAAGCATACTGCACTTTCAAAATACAAGAGATTAGATACCGTTCATGGATGCAAAGGGACGCACCCAGGCTTCGCAAGTAAGGAATCTTCTCTAGTACTCCCAGAAAAGTACCACGGGAGGTTTCATCAACATTTTCTGCTTCACCTGTAAAGGTTCCCACATGCAGTCGATATGCCACCAAAGTCTCCAAAGGAATTCTGCTACAAAAGTTCATGGTCAATAATAACAACCACAACCGCATGGTCAACACAAATAACTAACAAACTTGGTCTTGAAAATGAAGGTGGTGGAGTAGTCAGAAAAGATGAACAAAAGGAGTGTCTAAGAAGGAATCACCGAGGAGGTGCGTCACCCTCCCAATCGAATGGTACACCACCTTTGAGAAGCCAACCAAGCACGGGAGCAGGCGATGGAAGCTCTTCTGTTAACATGAAAAGAGAAGGTTCTAAGATCCATCAGAATGGATTAAATGACTAAGTTAACAACCACCAGACCAAGGTCTCCCAAGAAGGTTAACAATAACACATGGAATTCAAAAGAGGAGCAACACAATTTGACCTTGCCCTGGAACGTGGGGAGCAATGAACTTCGCATATGGATCGAGAAGAACATTTCGAGCATGAAAACGACCACCGCTTTCCCACCCCACTTGCCCCTGCACCAGATGACTCTTAATTTCAGCATGCAAGGCAATAATACTATGAGGCTGGTATGTGTGCACTAACTTCCCACATACAGAGAGGTTCTCCAAATAGAAATGATTGGAAAAGGTTGCAATGAATGAAATGCTATCGAACTGTTGGCAACCTCACAACATATTCATCATATCATGCGAGGTTACTAAACTTCTACTTCCGTGAAACATGTGAAAAGAGTGGAGTCGAATGTCCACGTACCTTACAGCGATAGCCATACCGTATGTAGGATCCCACGCTCTCAAGCTCAATATGCCACACATAACCAGTCCGATGTACAGACGGATACAAATCTATTTCGAGCTGTGGAGTACAAGAAGGAAAGACGTTATCCTTCGCCCTACATTACATGCTAGATTGTTTTCAGCATCGAGCTGCAAAGAGGAATTTGACTGATCTCTCAAAAAAGGTAACGAGAAGGAAGCGCTACTTACACTAGGTTCAATGGCGTCTGCTTCGTACAGGCACAGAACAACATTCTCCGCATGCAAGGAGTAAAGTGCAAAATTAACAGATCCGTCTTTCCCCCACGTCACCCCAAGAGGATCAGGCCGACCCCTCCTCATTCCGACAGGAATACAGAAATTGGAACCCTGATTTCCTCTGCTCACAAACACACATAGAGTACCCTTGAGGAAGTTGAGCCACTACAAGTCGCATCTGATCTCAAGGCCTGCAGACCCTCATTCATGTCAAGGGCTTCAGCAGTATGAAAACAATTACTAACTAAAAGCAGATGCCTCTAAGTTATGAAGATCCAACAAAGGGCAACCTTGATTCACCTGATCCACAAATTTTCCTCTTCTTCTGTGGTTGGCGGTTGAAGAAGTACAAAATTCACAAAAAATGGAGCCATTGCCGCATCCAAAGTCAAGCTCAGTGTCTGGTTGCCCTGAGAGCCTACCACAAATGGCGTTTGCATAGCTTCAATCCTGTCCATCACGGGCGTAAATTTAAGATAGGGTGCAGCACAAACATCTACAAAGATGCGCCTTTACTTTATAGGCACCCATGACGCCAAACTGAGGCTTTCCGGCCCCGCTTCTCTGTGACAGTACGTAGTAAAGAATGAACTTAGAACTTGGTAACGGTCATAATCTCGCTCTTGAACTCAAGCCTGATTAGAAACTTCACAATGGGACCGATCGACCAACAGACATTGCCTCTACACAATCGTTGCTTGCCACGCCGCTGACTTCTTTCCACGACATCCGCCGACCAGTGATTCAAGAGTGACGAAAGAATCGTAGAAAATAACAAATGGTGGAGGGTTGGGGCAATTTATATCATAATAGCTCGCACGGCAAAACGATCAAAATAACGAGATGGACAGGTTAGATATGTACACCCCATCCATGATGACAGTCGTACCGCCGGGAGCTTCATCTGGCTCCAGTAGAACCCACTCCGTTGAGTCTGATCGGAAGAGCCCCTGCCATCCATCGAAGAATACACAGTGTTCCCAGATAACTCAGTCAGAGCAACGTTCGGAATCAAAGAGGATGAGAGAGGAAGCGAAGGTCGTCAGACAGGACATGCTTACCCAATGCAATTTGAGAGGCTCATTCGATTTGGGAAACATATCGCCAGTGTTGACGACAATGTCTATAACGAAATGGTCGGCGCCCTCTTTGCTCACGGCAACCTCCACCTGCACACGTATACAAACATGTGCAATAATTTTATCCAACTGCACAATTCATGGCCCAATTCACACTCTCTGAGATCATCCGAAAATCCCCAATAGCACAGGAGTGACGTGAGCTAGTTGAAGCACCTTGCAATGAGGCTGAGCGTGGAACAAAAACTTCTGCAATTGAGGTTGGCGAGCCTGAGGGGGAAGCGGAGGTGGCGCGGCAAGCATGATGTCGTCGTCATCGTGGCGAAATCGAAATTCCTGGGAGTGGGCTTGCACGAAGGAATCCCAAAGGTGGGTGTCGGAATCCGAGCGGGGAGCGGATGGGGCAGCAGAAGTGGGAGTGGGCAGAGTGGAGTCATCGGGGAGAGCGCAGCAACGGAGGAGATCATAGGAAAAGGGATGACAGAGAGGGATGCGGGTAGGGAATGCGAACGAGGACGAGGACGAGAGCAATGGAGCTGGCTTGAAGAGAGGAAGAGGCAGGGAGTGGGCGGATGGGGAGGCAGAGACTGAAGCGAGGGAGAGAGAAAAAGCAGGGGGCCGTAGGAGAGTCCCCATAGCTATGTCTTTCATTTCCTGCGGCGACAAAAATGTCGACGACGAAGACAACAGCAACGACGACGACAACAACAACAACAACAAATGCAATCACCCACGACAACAACGCATCACCGAATACCCACCGCCTTCACCTCGCAAGGCAAGGTCGGATTTGTTCTTCGCCTGAGCTTGGGGCCCTCCCGTAGAACCTCTCTCTCATCGCTGTCTACGAACTCATTCTGTGTTAGAACCGCTCTTGTTTCTTCAGTGCTGTGAACCCTGACAAGAGTTATTCAACGAGTTCTTAATTAGTCTAAGGGATTAGGAGTAAGTTTCGAAGTAGTTCGAAAGCTTTTTGGGCTGGGATAAAATTAAAAGTTCGTATTCGAAAAATGTGTGAAAGTAGAAGTGTGTGTGGATGCAAATTGAAAAGTAAATTTTGAAATAATTGTGGAGGGGTATTCATACTGCCAAATCCACTCGTCTAAAATGTTTTCAATTGTTGGTGATAACAAGTGCTCCAAATTTAAATGTCTCCCCTGCTGCAAAATCCCTAAATCACATAATTATTGCATTGATACTAATTATGGATTCTTCAATACCATGAAAACCATTACGTTGTCTGGAAGCATGAGGAGTTCAGACCAAATATTGCTCATAGATGATTTAATGATGTTGATAACTCTTCCATTTCAGTATTGATTCACACTCAACCCCACGTCCTCCCATTCTCGTTAGAGTACTCTGTTGAATTTTCCACCAGGTAAGAGGGCCATGAATTATAAGTAGGACAGGGACCCAATTCATCTCTTCTTTGTTCAATTTATGTTGCTCCTTTCATCTTCGTCGATGTCACTAGAAAACAGCATCCATGAATAGGAATTGTTATGAAACAATGACAATAGGGAGTGATTAAAAAGAAATAGATGTGGAGCAAGAGAGATGATAAACTGAGGGAGAAATCGCACCTCGAAAAACAAAAGGAAACAGCACAGGGCATCAGAGGGGTGTTGGTGGAGGTTATTGTAGGATATGCAGAGGAAGGACGAGAAAGTTGACATCAAGAACCAAAAACAATACTTCTACATTATCATTTTCGACTTTGAATATCACATGTTATCACAATTATACTTGTGTTTTTGGGATTTGTTCAATACTAAGGCTGCAGCAACACTTACGCCAGTATTAGCCACATCGGTTAATATTGTTGAATTCAAACATTTCACCACTAATGAACCTGCACAAAGTCATTAATTTACATTTTGCTACAGCTTACATGAACATCTATTCTTTCACTTCATTTTGAAGTTGAGCTGCCCCTACTCATCACCTAGCGACCTTCCTGTCAGGTGCAACATGCACACACTTCAGATAGAAAGATTAAATGGCACTTGTAACTGGATGTTCATACAAAATCGTCCAAGGGGGTAAGTTGTGATAATTCGTTTTATGCACAGTATGTCCACTACCCTATGTTTCGCAAACAACTGCCAAAGGCATGGGAAATGCAGGAGTACTATGAGATAGATCATCAAGGAAACCGTGCCATAAGAGTACAAAGGTACCTACATTCAACCCAAACCATTGCTAACGTCGTCTCCAATTGCTAGAGTGTTCTCCCAACAAACGTTGCTCTCGAGTCTTAACACTCAAAACAAAAGCACCTGCAAAAATCAATGCAATGCTTTAACTAAAACATGATTTATACCTCTAAATCTCATTGTATCTCAGAAAGTGAAACAGAGACAACTCCTCGGGTTGAGGGATACATCCCAGTCATGTTCAGGCTGAAAGTAAAATTGTGCATGAGGAAGGTGCTGAAGTATGACACAAATCACGAGCATATATCGTATAACGCTTAAATAATAAGTTCTGTTCCATAAGAGACGGTAAAAGAACAAAACTGACGGAGTACCTGAATGGCCATAGACCCTTAGTCAACTCTTCCCTCTTGTTGTGGAGCCTGCTGTTCTTGTAACTGCTGCAGCAAAGCTTGCTTTGCATCCTCTGGCAATGCATTGAACATGAAAACAGACTTGTCTCCAATGTCGTCCTTGATGGGTTGAGTGAACTTGCGAGATGCGAAGACTGCGAAGAGAGCCATCCATGCCGCTAGAAGACCCAGCTGTACCTCGTCATCCATCAATCCTGACTGCAGGGTGTGTTCCATCAGCACTTGCTAGGAAATAAAACATCATTGCGGCACTTGACCGACTAAACTTTCTACAGAGCACGAGTGCTCAGCACTCTGAGGACAACCCACTAGGCCAGAAAATGAATTGTTAGCGGAGACTAGCATTTTAAAACCGGGTGAGCGCGTGAATCAACGCAAGCTTGAAAAAGCACGAACATGCTTTGCCTTCAGAACTAGTACCAAACAGCCACCCTTCAGATATGAAACTCAGACCACCCGCTCTCTTACAAAGAGAGCCGTAGTTTTAAGAAGCATGTATTAAAGACGCGAAGAAGTTTAAGTTCTCAAATGATTTCATCTCAGAGCCCATGCTTCTGTGACTCAACAAGAAAATTAGTTACAAGCAATACCTCCTCTGAATCCAAAAGGCACAAAACTGCACTAAACCTAGCATATGATACCCTAACTAAACTCCATCCAGGATCCGAAAATCAAAGACTCTGCTCATTAATGACATACACATTTGACCAGCCCGACATTGAATGTTCAAAGGCATTTAAGCATGACACGCCTATTGCGCCCACATTTAAGAGTATGTGAAAGACGCGCAGGAAACTTACAAGGCGACCGAGCAGCACCGAAGGGATGACAAAGAACAGAGCAGCCGCCTCTAACTTGCCATAACAAAGCCCTGCATTTTGCGTCAAAGGTATAAGATCCTGGTGAATGGTGCACTAGCATCAAGAGAGCGTTACAACCAACGAGCGCAGCGTCACATCTCTGAACGCTCGTTGGTCGTAACAAACAAACAAACAAATAAAACCTAAAGAAAAAGTTTCCTTTACACCATGACTTGAGCAGAGGCAGCATGCTCTACCTGCGCTAGAACAGATAACGAAGTTATGCTGTAACCACAACTGTCACCCCAATTCGATAAGGAAGTTTTTTTTCAAGAAGGATAGGTAACTTGCCTTCCTTAAAAACAAGTCCAGTCAAGGATGCAAAGAGTGGCCCAACAGCCCATATCGCTGGAGGATTATTCAGCACAAATTCCACTAATCCTTGATTCACAGGTGCAGCAAAGTTGACTGCAATACCCAGAGAGCCCAACACTCCAACTGCCCATAACGCTTGAAGTGTTCGCTTGATAGGGGTAACATAGATATGAATCAGGAAGAGCGACGCACCAAGCCCCCCCGCCCCAATTACGAACAATGGATCGTACAAGCTTTGTATCAAACTTTTCACAGCGTTGTCGTCGGGAAGTAGTGCAGTAGACGCAGCTACAAATTCACATCACTCATAGTTAAAAAAGGAAAAAGGAAAAAGATGACACCTAGTCATGAATGAAATGAACCATATGGCACGTTGACAGCTGATTTTCGTGGATAACAATGCTCGCAGAACGAATAGAGTATAGTTCTGTTCTACATCAAAAGACAGGTAGTAGAAATCTAAGCTACCTGCTACGAATGTTGTGGCCGCTGTCACTAAGCCTGCTCTGTACAGCACCACCTGCAAATTCACGACAGATTATAATTATCACTTAACACAGCACCAAAAGAATCTGCCATTGCATCTGAATGCAAAAGACCGGTGCTCCTCCAATTCATTCCTTCAATACATGTGAACATCTCACGCAGCAACTCAATACAATCCATTAGCATCTCAAGACAGCCACCCTTGGAGCACCCAGGGGAGTGCGGGTAAAGAAAATTGAGCACAACCAAGGCAAGTGGCATCCAGACACTACACGAAGAGGCCAGCACGAGAAAGGATGGACCAAGGAGAGAGAGCGCACCTCGCGAACGTCGGCAGAATCCACAGACCAGGGCCCATAAACGCCGCGGTAAACCTCCGGGGAGGAAGGAGGAGAGGAGGATGAAGAATTGGAGGCACGAATCCCCGTGAAGGAACGGTGAGCATGGCGAGAAGGGGACACAGAAGAAGAAGGTTTGAAGCGAGAGAGAGACAGCGAGAAGCTGAGGCGATGCGACGACGCCACCATCACCACAGGGGACAAAGCGCAGCACGAGAGTGCCATCGCCATAGCCATCGCGGTATCTAGCAACCCGAGCTCTTCAACCCTGCTTGCTTGCTTGCTTCCCCTTGCACCTTGCAGAGAGAGTGGAATTGGCTTTGGATTCTTCTACTACTGCTACTTTCTTCTTGGTCGGTGAGTAGCTCGCTCTCGTCGACGCAGCTGCGGCACACAAAAGCAATTCCACAACCTCGCCAAAGCAATCGCCATCGTAGTCCCGTAAAAAGTAAAAGTAAAAGTAAAAGCAGCGCTAGGAGAAGGGCTCTAGGGTCGCATTCACACAGGGAAGTGTGTGAACTCCCCTTGTGCTGGAAATAGTCTCATTGGATATTACAAGTAAATTCTGTCGAAAAGTTTTGTTTTAAAATGGGCGTCATATACTACCATCTATGTCAGTGATGTTTATTCATGAAAACCTAAAATAAGTAAATGGATTCCCATGCATAGAAGTTAAAGTTTATGTTATGTTTTCCCCATTGTATAAATGAATCTACATATATTAAGGTTTATGTTTATTTTTTATGATTTCTTTTTTTCTTTCTTCTTTTGTGTGTGAAATTGAGTGTTGAATGCGGCTCCTGTTCATCATGAGTAAATGAAATTATGATTTATTTTTAAATTTTATTTTCAAGAATAAATTTTATTTGTAATTTTATTTAAATTTATTTAGATTCACAAACTTAGTTTGGTTTTGATTGTAGTGCTCATCACAAATGATCAACTCTGAGTAAAATATCTGTTTTAATGCCTAATTCGGATGTCTTTTTTGTGTGAAATTATTGTATGTTACATTTGAAAATGAAATTCTTCATGTAGGTGAAAATGTTTTTTTAATTTATATTAGGTTATTAATTAATCTTTTGAAAAAATGGACATACAATTATTATCACACTTATGAGCATATACACAACCAGTACATGAGTAAATAATTTTCCACTTAGAAGCTCACTTTTAAATGCTATGGTTTGAAAGCCTGATTAAGGTCTCCCTGTTGGTGAAGAAAAGCTCTTCTTTGGAAGCCTTGGTTTGTGGATACAATGTAAAGTAATATGTCAACCCATATCTTGATTATATATATATATATATATATATATACATACAAAAAATCTTGATTTTTATTTTTTGTAGTTATTTTAAGCATTTCGAACATGACTTCTTAAATTTTTCTATAAACTACTTCTTCTTCTATTTTTTCTTTTTTGAAAAAAATGATGTTCATTAATAATTAAAAAAAATAAAAAAACTAAAGTCTTTATTGGTTACTTGGTAGAGAATATAAAGAATGACAATCTCTACTAGAAAAAACTCAATCTACTTATACAAAAATCATTGCTCTTGCTATATATTAGTAAAATCATCTACTATTATTTGATTTTTTTTGCACCATACTTAACAAAGTAGTTAAGGATATGGTTCTTCCTAGCCATCCCAGTATATATTATATTAGACCATGCTAAATTTTAGACTCGGCTAAAATTATAGAGAATATTATTGAAAATAATCTTACACTTAGTGCACCAAATTTCCCAAAAGATTGTACTTTGTAAAATATCCTTAACAAGACTAGAAAATTGTTTGTGGGAGAATATAATTTGGCTATGCAAGAACCAGGTGGTATTCTTGATAGGATCTCTTTTCACAATATCGTGGATGGCATATCCTTGGTCTTTCAAATAAGTTCAAAAAATTGCCAAATAAGTCATGCCAATCTACACTTACAAAGGTAGTACTCTATGATTTCTGTAATTTTTTGATGGTAGCTCTTACATTTGCTAGAATGGCTCACGATTACACTTTGTTTTTTAATAGGTAGGCCTCGAAAATTAATTTGCTATAGAAAATGTTGAAGTTTGCTTAATTTTTAAGAATCCTAGATGAATTTTAATGATGTGTTGGTTTCTTTGTTAAATAGTTTAAGATACTTCTACTTAAATTAGAGATGAGTGTTGGCAAATTAATCCATTTTCAAGATGTGATAGTCTAATTTGGTGGAGTAATTAAGAAACTTAATACAAAAGAGAGATGGTAAATTTTTCTATTTATATTCTTATAGATCAAATGATAAATAGTAAATACGATCTATTATCCAAACAACTTTTTTATATTTTGATTCCTTGTTGACCATGGTGGCATAGAGATTACCACATGATATAATAACTTAGATTTGTATGAGATCCAAGCCAAAAGTGTGTATTAGTAGTATTGTCATATTACTTGAAGCATTGTTTGAGATTGCATCAAGCACCTAATTGTAGAAGGTAGAATAGAAATTGTAATAACAAAATCATAATTCTAATAGAATATTAAATAAAATCTAATTAAATCTTAATAATAATAAAAAAACTTTAATCAAATTTTTAAAAAATATTAAAGAAATTACAAAAGAAATAATAAAAAATCTTAAAAGAGTTGAAAGATAATCCACAATAAATCTTAAGAGAATCCTTAAGAAGCCTTAAAAAATATTAAAATAATCAAAATATATCTTAAATAAATCTCAAATAAGTTCTAATTTAACTTCAGTTAAAATTCTAAATCTTAAACCTTAAATCAAACCCTAATCAAATCCTAAACCAAATTATACTCAAATCCTAACTAAATCCTAAACCCTAAACCAAATCCTAATCAAATCTTAAATCCTAAGATAATTTAAAACCTTGATATCTTTTGATTAAATAGTTGATCTTATTTAAAAAATTACACACCTCTCAATATCTTAGTTATGAATAATTACAACAAATTTGAAGACAATCACATTTACCAAATAGAAGAAAGAATCCTAAAATTTGCTCGGATGTTGGCCAATCTCTTTCTTTAATCTTGATATTGATCTTTTAGTGCTAACATCTCTCTTTTGCACCATTAAATTGATTTCAAATTTTTCATATACACAGAAAAACAAGTCTACTATCCACACACACACTTATCTTTTACTCCAATCCAACTAGTAGATTGCAAGAAATCTTAGAAATCCTCACTGGACCTAAAATTCTACTTTATGAGACCTTAACACACTTAAACTTCAATAACCTTCAATTCAACCTTTAGATCAAGCTAAAATTTTTAACACATATTAAGCACAACTATAACCATTGATCTACAAAATTCATCCATAGATCTACTACAAAACTCTTGAAATTATCCAAAATATTAATCCTCTTTTATTTCATAAAAATTTGAGACATTTGAAAAAATCTTAACTTTCTAAAACTCTTACAAAGTCATTACAAATCCAAAATTATACAAAACTAGTGCTCATAGAAATTCTATCAAGTTTACCATCAAATTCTACTCTTTGATCTCCAAAAAAACCATGGAGTCACCATAGGTGTGTAATTTTATGCCTTGATATCTAATTTTGACCTAGGTTGACAATTGGTCCTCTTTGGATATCATTTCTTGGCTTCTTGAGGCAAATTTTGCTAAAATGTATTCTTAATTCTTTCCTACATATGAATATATGATTTAATTTTCTAATTTATTTTATTTAATCTTATTTATGGCCCTACAAAATAAATAGAAGTCCATTTTGTAAAAAACAATATTAATACTTTTTAGTTTTACTACCCTTTTGACTATTATCTATATTTTTAAGATAATTTGCTATAATATTTTGAACTAAGATCTTCTATAATATAATAATTTCTACACTCTTTCACCTATTAGTTATATTACACTATGACATTGGAGGGCTATAATAAAAGTAATATAGATTGTCAAAGAAAAATTAGACTTTAGAATAGAAACTTTGTATTTAGAATAGCTAATCAATATTTCTATTTTTTGTAACTGTGACTACTTATTTGAAGACCACAAAAACTTGGTGTTGTATTATATTTTAATTTTTAACAAGAGAGCATATGATTTTACTTATTTTTATCTTGTGTCTTTAGTTCTTATAATTTTGGTGATATCTTCTAGCTTTTTTCAATTCCTTTTGTACTTGTTCTAAAGATCTTAAACTGAAAAGAAGCCTTTTTGCATCCATATACTTCTATATAAGTAAGGAGTATTATCAAGGATTCTTTTTTTTTGGCCAATGTAAACAAATTTGGTGTTATATAAATAACCTCTATGGCTCTTACCTTAACATCAAATTGTAGATGAATAGTTTGATCAAGAATACTTGAATTTGTATTTTGGAATCAAAGAGCTATAGTCCTCTCAATTTGCATGGTTATATAATCATGTCTCAAGCTACTTTGGAATGGAAATTTTTTTTATTATCTTTTCTTACTAGATATAATTATAGATTAGTTTCTTTACCATATTAATTATTTATAACAATAGTAACCCATATGAGGCTATATACCTCACTAAGATCAAAAGTATTTGGTTTATAATTAGCACCCATCGAAGTAGAAAGAAGTGGATAGTATTCTAATTAGAAAGCTTTTTTTATAGGATTAAAAGTACCACTTTGAAATGTTCCTCTGCAAGCACTTTATAACTAATCATAAAACCAAATAAGTTGATCATTTTTATTTGGTACTAAAAATTGGATATTATTTTTAATTTTTATATCAATAGCAATGGAATAAGAGCCATCAAGATGGCTGTTGATTTGTGTCAATTTATTTGTGTACTAATCACATGGACAAAAATGATGAGAATTTGCTTTGTTTTTTTTAGTCTTCCCAATTACGAGATAGGTACAAAAAAAAAATCATCTACAATTTCTTGGTTGAATATTTTGGAATGAATTTCTAGTAGCTTAAGTTTTATTACACCTTTGTTACTTTCTAATAAATAACTTAAATAATTACCAATAAATAAATAAAAAAATAAAGCAAGTACGCAATCCTAAAAAATTGATCTTATAAATTTGAATGGTTCACTATTAAATTTGTTTAGACCTATTGAGTGCCAAGAGTTGATATATAATATCTTAACCTAATTTAATGGTTGATAGTTGAATTCTATTGTTTCTATTATGCCTCTATTATAATCATATATTTTTTCAAAATTAAGCCAAATCATCACTAGTAGTTGTTTAGATTCTTTTATTCAATCTATCATTTTGAATATAAAGAAGATATTTTCAATTATATTGTGACCTTTAATAAACCTTATTTTATTAGGCCAAATAATATTATTGAGCTAAGACAAATTCTTCTTGACAATATCTTAGCTAATAGCTTCTAAATTTTGTCCAAAAGAATCATTAATCTCTAGCT